TTTTTTTTTTTTTTTTTTTGAAATTGACATTTTCATGACTAAAAAAGTTGGAAAATAGTCAAGGAGAGGAAGAGGGCTAAAATGAAAACTTTATTCATAAGTGTTTTGGAAATTTTTTGAAAAATGTGGAATATGAAAGTTTGTTTGGCACTGTAGCCAGCCGATGAAAGGGACACAGTCGAATATTGTCAGTTGTGGGAAAGCATTCATAACTTTTTGTAGTAACAGTGCAAAATCTTGACTCGTTATTGATTCAGAGGATGTTTTTTTTTTTTTTGATAGAGAGGAAATAAGAGCCAAGAAATGTAGTGATTCTAGTTTTTTCGAAAAAAGGAGGGAAATTGAAAGGGCAGGAAAGTATTCGTTTATCATTTTCTGTCTTTTTACTGTTTGAGTAAATTCAGTGAATTTAGCTTCGTTCACCAGCGCTTTTTTTTCAGGATTTGGAGGAACAAGAAAAAATGACGGAGGAACAGCTAGCAATAAAAAATGTTGGAAAGCAGGACCCGAAACGGCATCTTGGCGAAACAGTGAACGAAATGCTCGCCGATAATATTGTGCAAAGTCTTGCATCAATGCTCGATACGTCATCATTTCAGTGATCTGTTTTCCGTCTTTTCTTTTTTTTTTTTTTGTGAACAAAGAATTCAATTGGTTCATTTTAAATCTACGGAGCAAAACTCGGTTCCCCTGATCAACAGTGATGAGCTCGGAAATAGAGGGGAGCTCTGCTACATGCATTTTTTCTTCTATTCACTAGACTTTTGGTTTGAATGTGTGGTATTGAACAAGCTGAAATCAGTGGTCAAATTCAAAATCTCCTACATATCGTTCTGTCTGTGAGCGATGGAGCTGTCGAAAGTTTTGGGCCAAATGATGGCAGTTAGCCATCCGCAGCAGTCTTCGATAAAAGTGCGAGATAGCCTGCTCTTTTGGAGGCTTCTCTGATGGTTCCGCCTGTTTCGCATTGTACCATCAGCAGCAACTAGCATCTAAACCTCTCTTAGAACTGATAAATTTGAACCATTATAGCTAAAATGCTTTAAAAAACCATTTTTTCAATTCAGATTCCCCTTCTGAAGCATTCGCCGGAAAAACCGTGTTTAAAAATCTGGCTGTAAAAAAGGGGAAAAAAAAAGTTTAGCTTTAAAAACAGTTTGGTATCTCGTCCTCTTCACGTTTCATGTTTTATCGGGAATTTTTATCATTTCATTTTTTTATTGGTCACAATTGTTCATCACTTTTCACGTTGTTTACGTTCTATGAATTATGAATAACTAAAATTGGCTATAAATAACTAAAACTCGCAGCGCTATTTCTGCATTTTTTAACATGAATATTTGCAGCCCCGAAGACACACGACACCTTGAACACCTTGGGTTCTCTTTGCACCCATGGGTGTTAATTTTACTTACGAACCAATCACACGATTGAGAGGTTGTGACATTCTGGATAATAAGAAGACAGTCAGGCTAATGGGAGGACGGAAGAGGGGAAGGGAGGAGGGCAGGAGATTAGGCCTGCCGCTGTGTCCGGTATCTTTTCCTGTTTGGCCCAGCTGATAGTGCTGCTAACGAATCACTCTTGTGCTAGAAAAGCTGGAAAAAGTGATAGTGAACTGAGCTCCAAATAAGATTTTCAAGTGACGTTAGATTTAGGAGCCAGAGGGTCGTCAATTTTGCAGAAATGGCATTGAAACCAACAAGGAATTGTGAAATTGTATTGGAAATGCGGGAAATTGGTGTCCAAAGTGCACTGAAAGTTGCTTATACCGAGCCTCACTGGGATTCTCTCCCTCAGATTTAGACTCATACATATTTTTGCAAGTCGAGCAATATTTGTGATGAATAGGGATGAGCTACATTACTAACTTGCATATTTCTTTTTAAATTGACTTATAGCTTGTGCAAATGTTCCTGCACCGCCAGCACTCGGGATTTGCTGATTTTGGCGGCTGGGATATCCCGAACACCACAAAGATCTGCTGTAGTGTCAGTAATAATAAATTTCAGTAAATCCCGCAAATTCCATATACAGGCGAAAAATAACATCCTGAATATTCAAAATCTCGATTTGTTTTCGTTTTTTTTTTTTTTAATACAATGTTCAACTGTGTTCCAATTATTGCTAATGAAGCTACTGCAAGGAAACATCCTAGATTCGACTGGAAGGCCCGGAGGACGAGTTTCCGATCCGTGAAAAGTGCGATGAGGCATTTTTCGTCATTTGCACATCATAATCCAACTGGCGCACCGTAATCCTCTCGTAGGGCCCACTGACTGTAGACAACGGCATTTTTCGATCAATTTCTGGTTGGATGTTGAGCGATCGAAAGCCGACCCATTTTGACTTGCGCTGTGTCTGCAAAACCCGCCCTCTGAACTTCGAAAACTGTAGGCTGCAATCCACCAATTGGTTCATTTCCTGCAAATTGCTGAAAAGCTGGGCTATGTCGAGTGCTAGCAACTCGTCCGTGGATGAGTAAAATCCAGCAGAAAGGAGGTAACAGCGTTGCTCACTGAAATCATACATGTAGGACCAGTCACTCGTACAACCACGAATGAACCGGTGCGTATTTGTACTATGGCGCGGTACGTTTGACTCTAGACAACAACAATGACAACTCGACTACATACCAAATCCAAAACGAAGGCTTACACACAAAAGCACACACACACACACACACACACTTACTAGCAACCAAACCGACATGCACAAACAAACAAGTACCGTAAAATTGTAAAAAGTTGCTAGTTATGACCTGTTGTATTATGTAAGATCACTAATACCGGGAAAGGCCGTTGATATTGTGGCTTAACCATTGCCTGACTGAATACGAGGACTAATGTTGATTTTTTGAGACTACGCTTAGGAGACAGGTTTTTTTTTGCTAAGGAAGGCTTGAAGCGATCGGTGTCGGTTAATTGCTAGGCTAGCGAAAAGGATTTTTTTTAACGCTCAGACCTTTATTCGATTCTGCATTCCGGCACAGTAATTGGCCCTGATCAGATAACCATTTGATATGAAAAGATTCGTGTGGTAATAAAAGATTAGCAGGAGAGAATTTTTTATCAAATATCATATGCACGAAGATCGACCCGAAGAATAATTCTGAGAAGACGAGGGTTATGAAAGGGGCCAGAATTCCCAACCCTTAGAAAAAGCTTACATGTCGAGTAAAATAAAGAGTGAAATTGATATCAAGTGAATATTGCTGTGATATTTGCTCCACATCGTGGTGAATTCGAAATAATGTTTTCTGCCATGACTCTAATCCCCCATGCTCAACCGTCATGGACAGAAACATGTGCTGGTCAAAAACCGCAGAGCGGGAATTGCTGCCCAGACGAGCAAAATCAGAGTTTTACCATACTTGCTATCTAGATAAGCCCGAGTTGCCAATAGTCTCAGTGTTGTTGGGAGTCGTCTTTTAGCCGCTATGAGTCTTGTTGTCATCGTCTTTCGTGGATCATCATCGAATTTCGTCTTGGCCGAATTCCCGTTGTTGTTGCCGCTGTCAGTTCTCTGCTGGGGTCCCGAGTGGTGAAGTGTTACAAGTTGGGCAGCAATAGAGGGTTTACTGTGCCTCGTTGGAAGCGGGCAGCTCAGCGACGCCCAGGCAAAGCTGTTTTCTGCGAAAATAGTTCGTGGAAATGAGCAGTTGTACCCTCGACACTGGTCACGTTCCATTACTTTGTTATAGTCAGCTTTTATCAGGTCTTAAAAAGTTTGGTTGTTATGATGTGAACTGTACCTCCAATAACCCTGGTGATGCAGGATTCATGGATGTTCCCATTTCCTACTTCCACTTCACTCAGGTGAGCCAACTTTGCTAGGATGATTGATTTCAAGTGAATCACTGCCGGCGAATCAATCGTCCAGACCAGACCATTGACCGATGACCATTGATCAGGCCATTAAATCAGATCAATCGCCGCTCCGTCGATTCAGATGTCGATCAGCTCCAAGCCGCATAGACCAATTTGAATTTGTTGGGCTGTTGCATTTAGAACCACAAATGAGGGATTCGGAAGATCCAAGGGAATTTGCATAGAATGACGCATAGTAAAGGGTTCGGGATGAGGTAAGGTTATTTTCGTGACGTATAATGCACTGCTTCCAGTCGAGCACTATGGATTCGGTGGATACCAATCAGCCAGATACGTCCGAAGTCGTCTACATATCAGCGCTTGCACTGATAAAAATGCTGAAGCACTGCCGAACCGGCGTGCCCTTGGAGGTATTGTTTGTTCCCAATGCTTTTGCTGAAATTTCGGTAACTGACAAGCACAATAGCTTGCGAATTTCAGCTGCTTGTGTCTTTATCGGATTAAATTTTGCAAACTGGTCAAGGAGTGATAGCGCCAGGAAGAGATGACAACACATCTCAGTGACGCACAATACATCCCATTGATACTCCGAATGGTTTAGAACCTTGCTAAAGTGCTTCTGTCGGAAGAGTCGGTGGGCTGGTAATTTCCGAGTAAGCTAAAGGGATGTCAAAATTTCGAATGTATGACTCCTGGTCTTTGCAACAGCGATCTAAGCATTTAGTGAAATTGCCGGCTATAAAGTTCAGCAACAAAACTGTTTTATTTTCAACTGGTTTTCGAAGTAAGGGTATTGGCAGAGATGTTTTGAGTGTTTCATTTGGAGCTGAGACGTTTCAGTCAGAGGCTAATTCCTCTGCTACTGGGTCCAAACATTCTTATGTCACTTCATATATTTTAGGTCATGGGATTGATTCTTGGCGAAATTGTAGACGATTACACGGTGAATGTGGTTGATGCGTTTGCAATGCCGCACACGGGCCTTCCTGGCGAAGCAATCAAAAGTAGCTTTCGACCAGTAATCAGTCGGTTTCGGGCGAAATCCTCGTCTAGTAATGTTCGAGGAAATGGTGATTGGAGGGAGGGAGATCAAGTCTCAAAGCAATGATGCAAGGCCTCAACAACCAGTTTGATAGGTTTAGCGAGCAGATACAATTTCTGAGTTTTTTTTTTTTGTGCTGCATCATCATTGACTTTTAGGCAGTTTCGTCCGCAGTGTGGGACCCAGATTTTGAAAAAAAGATGCTTGACTTGTTGGAGCAGACTGAGCGGCCTGAAGTGGCTATTGGCTGGTACCACTCGCATCCAGGATTTGGATGCTCGCCATCTAAAACCGACACCGATTTGCAAAATGACTTCGAGGAAAATATTTCGGAGCGAGCATTTGCCGCCATTGTCGATCCGCTTCAGTCCGTCAAAGGAAAGGTTCTCTTTCTAAAGTAGCTTGTATGTGTGCCAGGCGGCTTTTTGTTTGAAAAATCATTGCTTCTCTCTGCTCCGGCGGTAACTCATGTGTCCGAATGTTCGGAATATGCCGTGCTTGGAATAGTGAAAGGATAGCCGAAGAGGGAGGCGATGGGATGTGGTTTTTCTACTACTTCCAGAAGGATAGGGCCAAGACGTTTATATCCTCAGTTGAGCTGGTGTTGTTTGGGACGATGAGGGTTTGTTTCGCAGTTTCAAAGAAGTGAATCGACTTTAGGTTATGATCGAAGCCTTTCGTACAGTGCGTCTGGAGCTGGAAGACTCGTTAGTTCCGGGGGTGGGAGACTTGGAGATTCGCCAAACTACTTCGAATCTAGGACAAATGAAGCGAATCAACAGAAATGCTCTGCCCTGTGGCCTCAATATCTTACTCTACAAAATACGAGTCGAGTTTAAAATGCATGAGCTTGAGCAAAAAGTAAGCTCTTTCAGAAGCTAGAACCGGTTCGTAGATCTGACTAAAAGCGATCACTAGTAGTTAGCATCCTGTTTTTGTTTAGATGCTGCTGAGTTTGAATAGGCATACTTGGATAGATTCACTTAGCTTGATTCGACTCAGCGAGCACGGAAAGAAAAACCAAGCGCACATGCAAAATATATTACGACTAGCCAAACTCTACAAAAAGGTTGCTTTGAAATTAAACGGAAGTTCTGTTTAACGGAAGTTCTGCCCTGTGCGTCAGAAGGATATTTGACTTCACTTTTTCGATTCATTTAAAAAAATTAGCTGGGATAAATATTTTGCCAAACTTGGCCTCCGTGATTTTTGAGCCAAGGAGAAGGGTCTTCCTGATTTTTTCGGGAAAAGAGGAGTGTACTCTTT